GGTCGAGAATGCGGTCACATATCAGGTATGCGGACCGCATAGTCGCCACAAAATAAGTCAGTGTGTTGGTCAAATTTGAGGTCAACTATGCGATCACATAACTAATATGAAGACCGCATAGTCCTCGCATATTTCCCTTGGGATTTTGTAAGGGGCAGTTCTGCGGTGCATTATGCGACCGCAGAATGGGTATGCGGACCGCATTTCTGCCACATACCCAGACAGTGTGTTCAGGTTTTGGGGAGCATCTTTGCGGTCCATTATGTGAGCCACATGTCAGCTTTGCGATCGCAGATCTGACTCGGGGCTTCAATTTTCTAAATTTTAAACCCGACCCCCTATGGTTATATACGGTGTAATAGCTCATTTTGAGTCTGTTTTCCTGATGCTTTTAGAGAGAGAGAGAGAGGGTCTTAGAGAGGGGAAGTGACTTTCATCAATATTGATCCAAAAATCCTTGTTAAAACATTGAAAATAATCAAGTGAAGGCACCTAAATCTTCACCCCAAGAGGCAAGGTATTGCGATGCTTCCAGGATCGGGCTCGGGTGCGTGTTAATGTAGCATGACAAGGTAATAGCCTACGCTTCTAGGTAACTTAAGAATCATGAAAAGAACTATCCAACCCATGACTTAGAGCTAGCGGCAGTGGTGTTTGCACAAAAAATTTGGCGACATTATTTGTATGGGGTCCATGTGGATGTGTTTACGGATCATAAGAGCCTTCAATATATTTTCAAGCAGAAGGAGTTGAATCTGAGGCAAAGAAGATGGCTAGAGTTACTCAAGGATTATGACATTGATATTCTCTATCACCCGGGAAAGGCAAATGTTGTGGTAGACACTCTTAGTCAAAAATCTATGGGAAGTTTGGCTCATTTGGAGGTATATCAGATGCCGTTAGCTAGGGAGGTTTACCAGTTGGCTTGTTTGGGAGTTCGCCTTGCAGACTCTAATGAAGGAGGGGTAATTGTGCAGTATAGGGCTGAATCATCGCTGGTGGCGGAGGTGAAAGAAAAGCAATACAATGATCCATTGATAGCACAACTGAGAGAGGGGATTCACAAACACAAGACCACAACTTTTTCCCTTGGCAAGGATGATGGTACCCTACGGTACCAAGACCGCCTATGTGTTCCTGATATCGACGGTCTTCGAGAAAGGATCATGGCAGAAGCTCACACTTCCAAGTATTCAGTGCACCCAGGTTCTACAAAAATGTATCATGATCTTAAGGCAACTTATTGATGGAACAACATGAAAAGGGATGTGGCGGACTTTGTGGCTAGATGTCCGAACTGTCAGCAAGTGAAGGCCGAATATCAAAGGCTCGATGGATTGGCTCAAAGCATAGAAATTCCAATGTGGAAATGGGAGATGATTAACATGGATTTCATGGTAGGGTTGCCACGCAAGTTTGAATCAATTTGGGTAATCATGGATCGACTCATGAAATCAGCGCACTTCTTGCCAGTTAAAGCTACCGACAGAGCGGAATGTATGCCCAGTTGTATTTCAAGGAAATAGTCAGGTTGCATGGTACTCCAGTCTCAATCATATTCGATCGAGGGGCTCAGTTCACAACCAACTTTTGGAAGACATTTTAGCAAGGTTTGGGCATGCAGATAAATTTTCGCACAGCGTTTCACCCCCAAACCAACGGGCAAGCAGAGCGGACTATTCAGACGCTTGAGGATATGTTGCGTGCATGTACTCTCGATTTCAAAGGTAGCTGGGATGATCATTTGCCACTCATAGAGTTTGCTTACAACAACAACTTCCATGTTAGTATCCAAATGGCACCATTTGAAACATTGTATGGTAGGAGATGTAGGTCTCCCATTGGGTGGTTCGAGGTTGGAGAAACGAAATTGATAGGGCCGGACCTCGTGAATCAGGCCATGGAGAAAGTCAAGATTATCAAGGAGAGGTTGAAAACTGCTCAGAGTCGCCAAAAGTCTTACTCGGATGTCTGTCGCAGAGATTTAGAGTTCAAAGGAAATGATTGGGTATTTTTGAAAGTTTCCCCTATGAAGGGTATCATGCGGTTTGGAATGAAGGGAAAATTGAGTCCGAGATATGTCGGACCATACCAAATCATTCAGAGGATTGGTCCGGTGGCATACAAGCTCGTGCTGCCACGCGAGATGTCACTGGTACACCCGGTATTTCATGTGTCCATGTTGAGAAAGGTAGTGGGACATCCGTCCATTATTGTGCCAGTTGAAACCATTGAGGTTAATGAAGAGGTGTCGTATGAAGAAGTTCCAGTTGCCATTCTTGATAGGCAAGTTCGGAAATTGAGAAATAAGGAAATTGCATCCGTGAAAGTGTTATGGTGGAACCACTAAGTTGAGGAAGCCACTTGGGAAGCCGAGGATGCACTACTGGAAAATGAGCCTATTGCAACAGCCGTAAAACCGTTGCAATAGAGAGTTAAACCGTTGCCATAGAGTTTTTGGAACGGTTTAGCAACTGTTACATATGCTGTCGTGCCAGTAGATCTAGAGTAACGGTTCTTGCAACGGTTATCCGAACCGTTGCTTAAGGTATATCTATAGCAACAGTTGTTCCTCTGTCTGAAGCAACGAGTATTTCTTTCCAGTTGTAACGGTTACAAACCGTTGCCATTAGTTTATAGCAACGGTTGGCAGCCGTTACCATATAATATGTTGCAACGGTTATTTAAGCTATTGCAACGTTTATTTACAAATATTCTAATGGTTTCATTACGCTACTGTAATGGTTTTATTTCTTTTGCAAAGATTTTAACTACCTATTGTGTCAGTTTGTTGCACATTTTGGAATGATTTGTAAGCCCTAATGGAACGGTTTTGAATACCTATTGGAATGGTTCTTGTAGACTATTTTGGAGCAATTTGCCATACCTATTGGAACAGTTTGCAAGACCTATTGGAACGGTTCTATTAGACTATTACGCACTGGCTGTAAATGAATATTTAGATATATAAAATTTGTAATAACTTGAAATTTATATAAATAAAAAGATAAAACACTTCATAATCTATATTATCTCCATAAAACCAAAATATTTAACCCAATCACATAAGTTTTACATCAACACTTACTCCATAACACCAAAATATTTTAACCCAATCACATAAGTTTTACATCAACACTTCAAGAGTTAGTTCAAATGTTGATAACAAAAGATTTCTAGAACATGGACACCAATTCAAAGTTCTTAAGTAAGGTCTAGATCTTCACAATCTCCATCTTCCCTTTCTTCAATTGCTCCACCTACAAAAGAGGATAAATAAAGTCATTATCCTTCAAGAGTTGGTTTATCATTATAAGAATGGGTATGGTCCATAAACAATGCATAAAGCACAAAGTCTTCAAATGTACTAGAATGTCGATCTCTAAGTCTTCAGTTCTTTTCGCTAGGATGAAACAATCTTATATCCAGTAAAAATCTTAAAGCACGAAGTTTTTCAAAAACAAGTCAGAGATGACAACAAGTAATTGTTTGTCTTTAAATCCATGTAAGAATGCAAAAGACTCTGTACTCCCAAAGCCTCCAAAAGTAGTAGCTAACCAGGTAAGAGATGAAGCACAACAATGTTATACCCAATGGGCACTTCAAGAAGCATTGGCAAAACTATGTAAGGACTTGGTTCAACCATCCAGCTAGGAAAACAAGGAGACGTGCTGCTAGACAGTAGAAAGCTGTGAAGATCTTCCCTAGGCCAACTGCGGGATCACTTCGACCTATTGTTCATGGACAAACACTGAAATACAACATGAAAGTCTGGGTTGGGAGGGAATTTTCTCTTGAAGAACTGAAAGCAGCTGGTATTCCCAAGAAACTAGCACCAACCATTGGCATTGCTATTGATCATTGCCGCAGGAACAACTAAGCTTACAAAGCTAAGCTTGTCATCTTCCCAAGGCGTGCTAAGAAAGTCAAGGCTGGTGATTCTAGTGCATAGGAACTTGCTACTGCCACCCAGGTCCAGGGTTCATACATGCCTATTACTATGAGCAGCCAACTGTTGACCTTGTCAAGGTCACAGATGAGATGAAATCATTCAATGCCTATGGCAAGCTGCGTATCGAGAGTACAAATGCGTGACACATCGAAGCCAAGTTAAAGAGGGCTGCTGAAGCAGAAAAGGAAGATCATGCAAATCTTTTGATGGTGTTTATGTTATAGCATAAGTCCTATTGCTCTCTTGAAAAAAATGCAAAAGAAACTTTAATAGAATTCCAAACTGGGAATTCACAACTTAAAAAACTAGCCACTAATACCTAATAATATTATCTTAATCTTTCCTAATTCATTAGTTTACCACATTGCCGAAAGCTTATATAATACTTCTCTTATTCACTTCCTTCCAGACACAGTAACAGTGTTTCACCAGATGACTTTCTTCAGCTTAACAAACTGTTCAGTTAGTTATTTTCATATCAAACATTGAAACTAGTTAAACACAACATAAGCAACAAAAAAGGCAAATTTTGCATCCTTTTGAAGAATGCCCTTATAAATCTTTCTTGGGACCAATGTAACAAAGGGAAAACGAGAGAAGAGTTAACAGAAGCTCAACTATAGCTAGTTGACAGAAGCCTTCAATCTAGAGAGTCTACTATGAGGATTTAGAAAGAAAAGAAAAAAAAGCAAATGGTAAGCAATTGAAACAAATGGTCACCAGTGAAGTATGGAGTTGAGCCCAACTAGTTTGTAACTGAAACGTAGTTTACTAATTAATTGATTTAAGTTCCAAAGATGCAAAAACCAGCCAGCCACACAATAGATGTTGTTTTTGCCAATCAATAGATGGCTTTGTACAGAAAACTAAGATAAACAGGAAGCAACATGTGTGAGGAAGCAACATGTGTTGATATTATAAGCCAATTATTCTCTTTATAAAAGGTTATAGCTAATCCGAATAAGTTTAAGTGAAACTTTAAAAAAGAAGCAGAAGGAGGAGAAGAAGAAAGCAAGAAAGAAACAAAGATAGACGTACTGACCTTGATTATTACTCCTAGTAGATAGGTGATTGATTAGTTGCACAACAACTTGTTGTGCATAGGAAGCTTCTCCAGGTGAACGAGCATTGAAACCTAGCATGCTGGGATCAACCCGTAAATCTGGATTCATATGCTTAAGTTGTGAAATAATGTTAACTGCAACTTGTAGTTCCATGGCATCTTTTTGTGCATTGAACTTTTCCTGTAATCTTTGATGCATCCTTTCTTCCATTTCATCCAATATTTGCTGCATCACCTCATCCGTAGAACTTAAAGAGGGCCCAAAATCTCCCACTTTTCTTTTTAAGGATGTCTTGGTAACCCCACGTCCATACAATCTTAGGCGACCTAGATGCTCAGGTCCCATGACTGATGCAAATGCATCAACTGATTGACTGCCATCTTGACTTTATTGTGTTGATTGTAATCTTTCCATTTCAGCCTACAATACCAAATTGAGTCATTATTAAATCAGAAAGTATATGACACTGAGTCAATAACTAAGAACAGACAAATGATAACAACAAACTTTAAATTAATAACTCGTACAATTTTATTAAGAGTATCCGCATACGAGGCCTTGTATACTCGATCAACTTTTCTTTTTCTCGTAGCCACAAAGATGTCCTTGCTTGATAGAGGCTCAGAAGTTTCTTTCTTTTTTTTCCTGATTATATAAAAAGTGGTATAAAAATATCTTGGACTAAAGTTAATAAGTTCATATTTAAAAGAATAATATTAAGAAAAAAAATATCAAACCTCGCATATTCGAGCAAAACTTCTTTTGCCAGCAGTGTGTGGATATTTCAACTTTTTGCGATTCTCGGTATTGGTTTGGGATATTTTCTACAAATCGGCCAATAAATACAAAGTTATCAAGTTCAGTTGTCCCAACAAATTCAAATCAAACTTAAATTTTGCACTAGGTCATGTAACCTAAGTGCATTTGATGTATAAAAAAATAAAGTGATTTCTAATTAAACATAAACCAGACATTCTCAGCAAATCATGGGATAGTACTTAGTTTTACCTTGTTGGCATCAGAGTTCCAATAATTAAGAAGATCCCTAAATTGAGATTCAGGAACATCAACCGGCCTTTGCTCCATTCGAAGCTCGTCATTCTCATAGGGTTTATAATGGTCGTTAAATAGTTGATTCTTATACTTTCTCCAAGCATTCTGAATCGAATAAAAAACCCACCTTTTTGCAGCATCAGGAATATCATATTTTCCCTACAAATTTAATTTGGTACAACTAGGTTAGTGTAAAAATATGAAATATCTACACAGAATATTGCAAACTTCAAACCTTGATATATATCCACATATCCTCTTTTGTTTGAAGTTTTCTCCAATTAAACACATTAAGAGGACAAAAGGCCGCATTCCTTGCCAATGTGCCGAGGAAGCTACCCAACTCTGCTACAACATCACCAGTAGGACCTATGGGTTGATTGTTCTCGTTTAGCACAATTAGCTTGCGCTCTTTCCTACCATGAACACTTGGCATCAAAGTTTTTCCTCTTTTTCTTTTTTCGTCAGAAGGACCTGCATTAATATTAAGTAAGAATAATCACCATATATCACGTCCATATTGTTTGCTAATTTAACGAAATAAAATTTATATGTTCTTTCCTTGTTCCTCGGATTGTTCGTTTGTTTCATGATTGGAAGAATTCTCAAATTGTTCATGTACCATTTATGAAGTACGAGTGGTGGAATCCAGTGGCAGTTGCTGCAATTGTTCACGTACTGCTTGTGATGCAAGAGAGGTAGAGTTCAGTGACTTTTGTTGCACATGTTCATGTACATTTTGTATTAGAGGAGAAGTAGAAGGCTGAGGCAGTTGCAACAATTGTTCTTGCACTTGAGATCCTAATGCGGAAGTTTTTTTTTCAATTAAATTCAGATGATGCTTGTCATTTGTCCTTGTAGATTGAACAATTCTTTTTGTTTTCAATGATGAAACTTTTTGGTTCAGCAAAGATGCAAGTGATCCAGCTGCAATGCAATTTTTAGCTTTTTTGTTTTTACTTGAGTGCCCTTCTTGATTCATGACTATTCAAATTCCTATCAAATTCAGAAAATTAAATAAAAAATAAGTTATCAAAGCATTAACAACAAGACCACTAATATGCTTGAAGAAGGAAAGGTGACATGCACAAGCATGAGAATGAAATCATAGACTTGCTTAAGCTTAAATATTTCATGCACAAAGGCTACAACAAGAATCAGATGGAGGCTACAGGAAATGGAAGCAAAAAGCAGCAGAAATATGCAGGCACAGACTCATGGGCAACACTTTTTTTGCTTTATAATTCTGGACACGAGGACTGCTATCTGGGCTGAAGATGCAATGCAATATGATGCTATGTTACCTTAGGAAGTATTGCATCCACAAAATACAACAAGAGCAGAAAAAGAAATATGCAAAAAAGACAGTACAAGTATAGGCATCGCAGTACTTGACAGTACAAATACTCTCTACAGGTATATTTAATGAAAGTGTGCACTACTGGGAGGAAATTCTAGACAACCGGACAAAGTAAATGACAATACAAGTTCAGCAAATACAGCCTCAATGTGCTATAGGCTTGACAGTAGCTATCACTATGCAAAGAGGCTATTTGTGCAAAGACGAGGCAGCATCACATGGGAGTACCTCACTCACTTTTGATAATAGGGTCTATGTATTTATCAGAATGTTTAGAGAAGACAATAGCAACACCGAATGTTACAAGGCTACTGAGCTAGTTTGTGAAGAAGTAAACTGTCCGTGATGGTGATTCGAGTCCAAGGGTACTTCCTGCGCAAGTTTATGAAATTTGGGAATGGTAGAGTTGTCTCTGAGTTGTTTGGATCATAATTGGCTCTTTTTTATGCTTCATATGGACAAATAAGCTGAAACACTTAGTTCGTACCTGCCAATATTCACTGATTGTGTCGACACCAATGATGCCAAGGTCTAAATCTCCTGATACCAACTTCCGAACAATGTCTTTTGGCCGTTGAAACCAAATCTGGACCAGATTAGATATCTGTAATCCACAAAGAAAAAGAAGGTGCGTAATTAAAGTAGATCATGTGTTCTCCTAAATAATAAGCTCTAGATTCCAAAGAGATAATCCAAAAAAAAAATGCAATGCTTAAATTAGACATTTCCATGCAGCTTTGGCAATTTATTCACTTAAATACAACATTGTGATGAAAAGCATGCTTCACCACTCCTATCTCCTAGGCTTAGAAATATTAACAGGCCTGCATTATGCAGAGGGAGTTTAAGCACATGTTCTGTTGGTTTCACAATCGAGCTAAGAGCAGGCACACATCTCACTAAGACATGGTCACCTTAATAGTTAAACTAACAACTCACAGTACATTAACACACAAATATGCAAATAGGTCCAATTAGTACATGAGTTAGTATATGGTCCATTATAACACATTGGCTTAGCTTACTAGATAAAATTATTTGAACAAGGACAGATCATTAGGGTAAGTTCTTTACAAGATCACTTACACTAACCATTTCCTTTATCACAAAAGATTAGGAACTACTAGAAGGGAACAAAGGGATGTAAAGATAAACTTATTCAAGCTACTGTCATGAAGTGCCCTATGGGTATATAAATTATTAAAATTATATAAACAAGAGCAATTATAAAATATTGATAAAAAATATTATTACTCACTCTAAACAAAATATATTTAAAAGAATATAAGAAGTTTCTTCTTTAATCATCTGATTCCATCCAGTCCCAATCAGTATCATCAAACTCATTCTCCTCTTCCGATGTTTCTATAATTGTATCATGTGAATGTTGTGCATTAGATGGAATATCAACAACATCAACGGGTACATCGTTTCTTGAGCATCCAAACTCAACATCAACTAATCCACTTAAGGAACCAACGTCATCATTAGGCTCCCTCCAAAATGCGTCTTCAATATTGGGGCAATTCTCTTCCTCTAAATCATATAAATCAACAGGGACTTTATTCCTTGTATAATAAACATCTTTCTCAATAGGATCCTCCACATAAAAAACTTGATAAACTTGTGATGCTAACAAAAAAGGGTCATCTGTACTACATAATTTCTTAAAGTACACACGGGTTAACCCATATTCATCTAGTTCATTACGAAACCAGTCGCATCTAAATAGTACAACACTAAAACAACCCCAATAATCAATCTAAATGATATCCTGAATAGCTCCATAATAGATAACCTCACCATCGATGGGATTTTGGTCCCTAGAGCTAGCAAAGCTCTCGGTTGTTGCCGATAAAGTCACTCCATTGTTTTGAGTCTTGCATCGGGAATCCCGTTCTATGGTATGAAATTGGTATCCATTAATGAAATATGCAGTATATATTTTGGCGATCGCATTAGGCCCTTTAGCTAACCATCTTACATAATTGGGCACTTCAATATTTTTAACTTTCTCAGCAAACCAATTGTTGAATTCCCGACTATAATTTCTTGCCCTTTCCCATGCATTTGATCTACTGCGATTACCAATTAAATTCTTATGTTCCATGCAATCATGAATATTTTAAGATTATATCATTAAAAAAATGAAGTATAGAATAAGTGTTATACAATTTATCTTACTCGATAAATGTTTCCACTTGTTCATCTCCAGTATTGAATAGAGCATATTGATGTTCTTCATAACATAACTGTGGATCCATGAGAAAAGTATTTTTCTTCTTACTTCCAATTGGATGGCCTATAACAGAGAATATAGATGACAAATGTTGAGGTCACTCATCATCTATAATTGGGTATCTACTGAATCTTGTCTTCACGCTGTCATGTAGGTATCTTGAACAAAAAATCAAACACTCTTCTGCCAAAAATCCCTCTGCTATTGATGCTTCTGGACAAGATCGATTACGAACAAATGCCTTGTATTTACATAGGTTCCTCTCAATGGGATACATCCAACGAAGATGAGCTGGACCCCCAAGCTTAATTTCATTCACCAAATGAATAGGCAAATGTGGCATTATATCGAAAAATGTTGGATGAAAAATCTTTTCAAGCTCACAATTTATTTCAACAATTTCAGAGGTCATTTTTTCAAGATCTCTTCGCCTTATGACCTTACTACATATGGCTCTAAAAATATTACCCAACCTAATCAAGGCCAATGAAACACTCTTGGGCAACTCTTTTCTAACAGCAACCTGGAGCAAGTAATGCATTATAAAATGAGCATCATGACTCTTATACCCTGATATTTTCATCTCCTTCACTTGCACGCGTTCTGAAATATTTGAAGCATAACCTTTTGGTAACTTGGCATTTTTTATGACGGTACAAAATAAACTTTTCTGTTTTGGTTCCATGTAGAAACAAGCTTTAGCCAAACTCACTGATCCATCATCATCTTCTCTTGGTTGTAACTCCTCTCGTATCCCCATTTCTTTTAAGTCATAGCGAGCATTTACATGATCCTTTGACTTTTTTTCTATTTCCAATAAAGTTCCAAGCAAACTGTCACATATATTTTTCTCGATGTGCATCACATCAAGATTGTGCCTCAATTTGTTATGCGCCCAATATGGCAATTCAAAAAAATAGATCTTTTTTTCCACGGACCCTTGTTATCCCGAGGTCTTTTCTTTTTGCCCTTTCCAAAAATATTGTTGAATTCAAGCAGCTCTTGAAACACTTCTACACCCGACAAAGGAGTAGGTGCAGGTCTATGTTCCTCCTTACCATCAAATGACTTCTTATCTTTCCGCAAAGGATGATCATGCGGCAAAAATCTTCGATAGCCCATGTAACACATCTTATGACTATNAAGGTCTTTTTTTTTGCCCTTTCCAAAAATATTATTGAATTCAAGAAGCTCTTGAAACACTTTTACACCCGACAAAGGAGTAGGTGCAGGTCTATGTTCCTCCTTACCATCAAATGACTTCTTATCTATCCGCAAAGGATGATCATGCGGCAAAAATCTTCGATCCCATGTAACACATCTTATGACTGTGTTTGAGATATAGAGAGCATGTGTCATAATTACAAGTGGGGCATTCCAACCTCCCCTTGGTGCTCCATCCTGAAAGCATTGCTAATGCTGGAAAGTCACTAATTGTCCACAACAAGGCTGCACACATTTGAAATGTTTGCTTTGTCTCAGCATCATATGTTTCTATCCCAGTTTCCCATAGTTCCTTCAATTCTGCAATAAGTGGTTGTAAGTACACATCTATATCATTTCCTGGAGATGAAGGACCTGGAATGATCATTGACAACATGATATATTCTGGCTTCATGCAAATCCATGGTGATAAATTATAGTTCATTAACATGACAGGCCACGTGCTATGAGAAATGCTCATGGTTCGAAATGGGTTGAAACCATCACTTGAAAGACCCAACCTAACATTGCGTGGATCTTTGGAAAAGTCAGGATGTAGAGAATCAAAATCCTTCCAAGCTTCTCCATCAGCGGGATGCCTCAAATTCCCATCATTAGGTCGTTCATTTGTATGCCATCTCATTGCAATAGCTATTTCAGGACACATGAATATCCTCTGAAGCCTAGGCTTCAAGGGAAAGTACCTTAAAACCTTTGCAGGAACTTTAGAACTTGTATTATTCAAGGCATAATTAGAACGTTTCCATCTAGAAGACCCACAAACAGAGCAATTATCGACCTTTGCATTGTCATTCCAAAATAGCATGCAATCATTAGGGTATGCATGTATTTTTTCATAATGAAGACCCAAATCTTTTATCATATTTTTAGCCTTGTTGAAAAACTCTGGCAGCTTAGCAAGGGGAAATGCCTCTTTTAACAACTCTAACAAGTCTGAAAAGGCTACATTACTCAACCCATACAAAGACTTAAACAAGTACAACCGGATGGTGAAACTCAGTTTACTGAAGTTTTCACACCTTGGATATAATTCTTGTTTCCCTTCCTCTAATAATTTAAAAAATCTCTTAGCATCTTCAGATAGATCCTCTCTCGTCCCTTCTTCTTGTACCGACTCACCTTCTATATTTCTGAATGTGTCATGAAGTAATCCATCAATATCATCATGCATGTTNTCCTCTCTCGTCCCTTCTTCTTGTACCGACTCACCTTCTATATTTCTGAATGTGTCATGAAGTAATCCATCAA